GAACAACGAGCACCCCAGCACAGCCTCAATGACATTAACCAAATCTCACTGCAAATAGACTCGGACTGTGAAAATCATCTATTTCCTAAGATGGAAAAAAGGAGAGCCAAAGTTAGCTGCAGTAGGTTTACCCACCTCCATGCTTCTGACTTCCTACCTTGTTACGTACCACAGGGACAGAAACAAAACAAAAAACCAAAAACTAAACTAAACATAACATACTTCCAACTGGGATAATATCTACCAGAACACACAACTCTTATAATTTTCTTTCAACTTCGCAGGAAGATTTGCCTCTGACTTCAGATTAAACAACAAATAATCTAAATTCACAGTCAAGACTTTCCCAGTGCCAAAGGAATTTGGCAATACTTGACAGCTTCCACTTCTCTCACAGACATCCAGCACAAACAGAGCTGCAAAGCACCTGACATAGCAGTAACAAAGCAGAGCTTCCTCTCCATCAGCTGACAACAGGTACAGCCCTGGACAGCTGAAATACCTTTGGCAGTTCAGGCAGCATCAGCTCGCACACTAAGAATATTTTGCAAACAAAGAGAAGGAATGGTAAAAACAAAAGCCAGTTCCTAAATATTCCCTCATAGTTCCTTTATTTTAAGCCTACCATTACCTACTACAGAACCAATCAGGGATCCAAGAACCATCAGAAGTTCCAAGGAATTTAAGGTCAGAAGGACTACTACAATCGTTCAGTACAAACAGCACAACCATTCCCATACTACAGCTACAGGCACAGCTGGAAGCTGAGCTGCTTGCCACTGTGACAGCCATATGTAAGGTGAACACTGAAAGGTGCAGGCAAAACAGCAGGGCCTGCTCCAACCATGTATGTGCTGTCCAGGGTGCTCTGCACACACATCCCATCTCCTAGAGAAGAGCTCTCACAGCCCAGGACCACGCTGAAGGATGCATGGGTATGAAAGCAGTGACATTTCACTCAGAGAACCAGAGCCAGCCCATAGTGGTACAGCTCCTTTGTAGCCACGGATCTGAAACACCAGTTATTCATGTACCAAATTCACAGACTGCATCTAGTCTCCAGAAAGACATGCAAACTTGATCTGAAAGCATCGAGAGATGGATAAGGCACTGTTTCCTTTCTTTCTTTGTCACTCACCCTCACTGTTTACTACTTGTGCCTTTCAGTTTGATCCCATCTGTTTTCATTTTCCAGCCACTTGATCTTATTAAGTATACACTAAACACTGCATCTCACTAAGCGTGCTGCACAGAAGTCACTTCTCACTATTTCTAATAGCATGCACAGTTTTTCCAACACTTCCACCGTAACACAACATTAAAACCAAATCTTCAGTGCAGCACTTCATTGCATTATTACACACTTAGCCAAAAAACACCTTGTTCCTAATCAGTAAACCACCTTTAAAACTAACCACAGAACACACTGCACTGCTTGTTCATATCTACATCCACCTGGTTACAGCACCACCTGACAGCCCCGTGCCCACACCCCTCACCTTCAATGTGATTTAGAACATGGCTGCACAAAGATGGACTTTGCTTGAACATGGGTTCTAGATGGGTTTGTGTCATTGTTTTGTCCTCACTGCCTAATATCTACCCGCCCTGTTCATCTGCAAGTTGCATTAGTGATAATTTTGTAATTCCTCCCAAATTATTCATAAAAATGTCCTAAGTTTAGTAGATTTGCTCCCATAAGACTTTCAGGAACACTTCCCTCTATTCAACCACTTCTGAGAAGCTATGGTTAGCCAGCCAACTCCATCCATTTATTATTGCTATAGGATCATGTAATGCTCATACAATGCAAAGTGAATATTAATTATCATACTTTGTGAAAAAAAAAAGATGTTTATATGCTTTATTGCATTATTAGTTTTATAACTATGTTAGCAGAAGAGTAGAATCTAGCAAGGTCTGTGATAATAGGACAAGAGGAACCAGGCAGTTTTAGGTTGGATGTAAGGAAAAAGTCATTTACAGTGAGGGTGGTGGGGCACTGGAACAGGCTGCCCAGAGAGGTGGTGGAAGCCCCATCCCTGGGGACACTCAAGGTCAGACTGGATGGGGCTCTGAGCAACCTGACCTAGCTGTAGGGATCTGTCTTCATTGCAAGGGAGTAGGATTAGACAGCCTTTAAAGGTCTCTTCCACCTAAAACAATTCCATGATTCCACACAGCAACACTGATCTGAACTTTGATTATTAAAAAAAAATAAAAATAATAATAAAAAAAAAAGAACGTCCATTGAAACAAGTTTTCCTGATAAAAATCAGGCCGCCTTTCTAGTGAAGGAGGGAGACTCACAATGATAGTGTATAATCAACAAAAATGCAATGGTGTGGTTAGGCTGGTATCTTGAGATCGTATAGCTAGAAACATCATTGCAGTGGAAAAGGATAATCGAAAATAAATGAAAATGCTCACTGTGTCCTGGGCTCCCAAGAAAATCCCAAAGGGAGCAATCTCCAGGAAGGGATCCTTCCTCTGTGGCAGTCAGCCCTTCAATGGGGTCTAGGAGGGGGGCAGCCAGGCTCCACTCCTTCCAGTCACACAGCTGAATCGCCTTCACCTGTGCTCCGGCAGCTGACTCAGTGCTCACCTCAGGTGATCAATCAGAGGTTCAGGCCATGATTCAACAGCTCCTATACACAGTCAACAAGATACCCTCCCCATTCCAACACCCACATCACCTCCCCTAAAAAAAACACCACATCCATGTAAAAAGAGATCCCATCACCAGCAGTCACACTTTCAGAGTGGTTTTTACCCCTTCTTAACAAAAAATTATTGGAGTCACTTTCTGCTGTTCCTTTCACAAATAAATACATCTTTCAGCACTTGAGTATTTAAGTAATTTGTATTTCTAAGACCACCTTTCCTACATCACTCGCAGACAGTGTCCAAAAACACCTCACAGGAAAATGCAAAACTATTTGCATAAAAATACTTTACTCTTCAGAAAAGCCCCTTAAACTTAGAAAGTAGTACAAATTAAGCAAAAAAAAAAAACCAAAAAAAAAAAAAAAAAAAAAGGGAAATTTGAAAGCACAAAAAGATATCTGAAAACGATGCATGACGCTGAGATTAACACTAGCATGAAATATGAGAAAGTGGGAAAGGTTATGACAGTCCTATAAAAAGCATCGTTTTCTGTGTATACAAACGTAAGAACAGATTATGTGCTCCAACGTCACCACTTACATAAGGATATGGTGCTATTTCCTTAAAAAGTGGAAGTCATTGAGTACAAAGGCATCTGAACTTCAGAAGAAAAAACACAGATGGCACTACATTGTTCACTGAACAGGTCTGCAACAATACAGCCCTGTGATGGGACAGAATCCTCAAGTTTCTAATAAAATTAATCAAACAGAAACACTTTAAACAACCATCACCACCAACATTGAAAGCATCCTCCTCTTTGAGAGTTAATCTGCATAAAGGAATTTTAAGGCTAAGGGAACACCCACTGAAATCTATGCAAACACTCCCCTTCAGTGCTGTCAGATAGTCAGATATGCAGTCAGTATAGTCAGATGCTCAGCATTTCCAGCCAGACCCATCTATAAAAACTCTAGACTAGTGGTATTTATTGCACATTAACAAATCAGGGCTGGTGCTGTGGTATACAATATGTTAGATTAACTTCCTTCCTCATCTATCATAAACATATTCCTTCAGTATATAAACATCACATTCTACCAGATCACCTCACCCAGAATTTTCCATCAGTTTACATTAAGATACTTCTTCACTCTGCAGCCCTTACTCAAAGTTAATTTACTGAATACTAATTTTCAGTCTTAAAAACAATGAGGCTTTCTAACACGCTATGTGTTTGTTACTCCATTTTATAGCTTTCATCCTCCCCTCTAAGCTTTCAACAAGTTCAGAACATCTTCTTTCAAATAAAGACATCAGTTTGGATGGTTACTGTCAACTTCTCTCACTTCTGAAAAACACGAAAAGAGAGTATTTCTCCTGCTACTCTACAGAAACACACAGCACCAGTCTTTGCACATCACTCAAAATAAATTTTAAGAAACCATCCAGCCACGTTAGGAGTGCATGCATCAATCTTCAAATAGACTGCTGTATTTCAAAGTCTTAAGTATGCACAGTTTGGAGAGGCAGAGAATATACAACCATATACAGATGCCTACGGAGCCCCTTCAGTCATCAAGGAAACTAGAAGTGCCTTTAAGATGTTGTTTACAAAAAAAAGATTGCCATCTGTTTAGCAGAAAGTGGAGGCAAGCATATGCACTCCTCTTGTTTGTAGGCTGAAAAATTAGGCTGAGGATGGTAGGGACTATCAGGTAAGAAGCTCACATATAAGGCTTTAGAAACCGTTCAAAACACCCTTTAAAACAATCACAGCAGTCCTCAAGAAAACATAGGTGCCGCTGACAAAGGCGGGTGGCACAAAGGAGAAGAAAAACACGACACGAAACGACCTCTGCACGTTACCTGTCAGCACTCCTCCCACCGCCCGGCCGACACACCGGGCACTGAACGAGGCCGGCTCCTATATAAACTCACGCACCGGCGGCTGGATGGGAGCAGAGCGGCGCGCAGGCAGAGCCGAGGAGCCAGAGGAAGCGCCCGTTCCGCCCCCGGAGCGTTTCCCTCGGGCCGGCGGGGCCGGGCGGGCTGCGCGGGGCGGCGCCGCCGAGGAGAGGCGGCTCGGTCGCAGCGGGCCGGGGGCGGCCGGGCCTCGCCCCCCTCCTCGGCCCGGTTCCGCGCAGGACCCGCCGCGCGCCTCGCTCTCCACCACACGCACAGGGACATCCGCGCCCTCCTCCACCCGGCCCGCCCCATCCCGCCCCGCCGCGCACACCCGGGCCGGGAGCGGGGGGCGGCGGCGCACCTCGCGCACCTCTCGCGCCCCGCTCGGCCGGCCCGCCCGCCTCGTCTACCCGCGGCGCCGAGCGCCGCTCACTCTGCGCCCCGAGCCCGCACCTCGCCGCCACGTCCGGCGGGCCCGGCCTCACCTCGGGATGCAGGATGGGGACGCAGCCCGCTTCTTTCTCATACTCGTCCAGCGGCGCCGCCATCTTGGTGCGAGCCGCCCGCCCGCTGCATGCCGGGTACTGCGCGCGCGCGGCCCCTCGCGCCCCCGGCGGCGGCTGAGGGAAAGAGGCGGGGCCGCGCGAAGGCAGGGTGCGCTGCGCCGCGCTGCGCTGCGGGGGCGTGCGGGGCCGGAGCGCGGCCTGAGCCCGCAGGCCTCGGCTGCGCCCTGTGGGCTTCTGCTCGGCGTCAGGCGTCGGGGCCAGCCTGTGGCGTTTTCTTTATGTGTTTAGTTTTGGGTTTTTTTTTTTTCATTTTTTGAAACAAATATTCTTCTGCTGTTTCAATGGCCATAGTATGAGTGTGTGGTGCTCATGACAGCCATTCCATGCGGTGCTTCTCACATCTCACTCCCACCAGGCTCCTGCTTTGCCGCACAGGCTGCCCGGACGTGGCAGTGCTCGCTGCCTGCTCTGCCACTCTCTGTAGCAGCTTGGCCACATGTGCAAGTGCCCACCGGGAACCAAAAGCTCCTCCAACGCAATCCTTAAAATCAGTCAGTGACCAAACAGGCTCAAAGCAGCCACTCCGTGGACTGAACCTGCCAACAGGTTCAAAGCCAGCTTGGCGGTGAAGAACTCCGGTGTGCTGTCCCTTAGGCTGCCTGCCTTAAGGCCTGTCCCAGTGGCTGCCAGCACACACCGACAGCCGGCTGCCCTTCATGCCTGAGGGGAGGCAAACGTCCTCATGCCGGTGCTTTTGAAAGGAATATTTACTGTAATTTAGGTTTGGGGAGAAATTTCGACTTAATTAAGTTCATTCTAATTTGTAATGAAAGCAAAACAAGGACTCCTCTGTGGTTTATGTTAATTTGTTTCCAAACAAAGTAATGCTTGTCCAGCTCTCTTTGGAGGTTATGTTCATGGCTAGAAGTAGCCAAGAGAGCATAGGAAGAAATCAAGAGTGATTTCTAAGGTTACTGAAAATTCCTCACCTTTCTAAGAAAGTCTCCAAAGGATTCTTTCTGATTGCTGGTACTGAGATGAACTGCTGGTTTCTTACATCCTGTCACATACATTATCCAGATGGACAAGCTGCCTACTGCAGATTTGGAGACCACATTAGATCTTGCTAGGCAATAGGTTTTGTTTTATTTGTATTCTCTGTTCTTACTACCTGTGTAATATGCGTACAGCCAATGCTGGCAATCTGAAAGCTCTTTATTTAAAAATTATCTGCCTTTATACCTTTAATGTTTTATAAAAAATGTTTTTCCAGTTACAGAATGTTATTGCTGGTTCGATTGCAGCTTTATGTTGTCATATCTATGGTGCTCTCACTTGCCTTCCTGAGAAAGGGACTTTATATAATACATTTTGTTATATCATACTACATTAAGCTTGTAAGCCTAAAAACTCGCAATGATTACTCTCCTGTCTCATATAAAATGTAACAGAGAATCACTAATAAAATTTGACTACAGCGTTATTAAAATGTTAAGCTGTAAATATCCTTTTGCTGTATAAAGGTAAATTTGCAATTGTCAAGAAGAAGAATGACATGAGATTTAGAAACCAGAACTATGAAACGAGCATGAAAGCATAGTCTTTAAAGCTTGAGGTACTGAAGTGCTGAAAGAGCAGAACACAACGCACAATATACAGAAGAGGATTTTTTTTAACTGTGTATATTGTTAAATGTATGGGAGTTTAGATATAATTTGCAATCTGATTTGTGTAAAGAAAAGGGTTTTCAACCTTCTGCAAACCTCAGAAACAGAAATCCTGTAAATCACTGCTGTTCTTATGCATAATAAAGGAAAGGATCATAAAGCAACCAAAAATCTTGATAGCATTTTTACTACAAATGTCGTATTTCTCCAGAAGTCTAAAGAACCTGTGCTTCACTCCATGGCACATTCAATTTCTGCTCTGAACTGGATTAAATGCAAGCCCTGACGTTTCCTTATTTATACTCTGTTCTTCACAGATCCACACTTTTTGTAACTGATTCTGTTCTCAAGGATATCTGCACAGAGAATGTTTGCCATTGCACTTAAAGCTCTATCTGTGTATATAGTTCATGTGCCACCCATTATATCCTTCTTCAGAACTGAATCTCTCTTTTATTCCCAGTCATTTCCTACTCTTTAATACGGTTGCTCAGAAACACGGTTCTTTACTGTCTTATGTTGTCACTGCAGATACACTTAACAACTATGTAGAGTAACTGAGCAGCAGGTACAAACCTAATGACCTGCTTTGGTAACAAACTTGCACCTCCTTTGCATAAATGTAGAGGGCTAGAAGGTTACTGCAGAGCAATACAAGATTCTCAGATTAAAAATGTCTTGTAAATGCCAGGAATTACTGTTGACCAATAGCAGAAAATGCTATTCTGGTTGGTTTCATAGAATGATCAATTGCTGATATGTGAAATGTTTCCCATATTGACCAAAGATTTTATCCAATGCTACTTTCTAGAAGGAGGGACAAGTCTATAATATTGACCAAACATGGTGTGCACTGAAAAATGCTTCTAGATTTTAGTCTGAAAAAAAAAAAAAAAAAAAAAAGAAGGGAAAACACAATTCATCAATACCATGGACCCACAACTTCTCTTCCATCTTCCTTTTTCTTCCCTACTTCCCAGCTTAACTGGGAATTAGCACAAATTCCTATGATTCTCTATTACACAGCATGAATTTCAATTTTCGGAATTAGCTATTAGAAAAAAAAAATAAAAAATCTTTGGCAGAGACAAGTCACAGTGTATTTGCAAAATAAGCATCCAGATACAGTTCCTGTCACTATAGATGACTGTACAGGTATTTTACAGTGTATCTTCTGCTAAACTTTGAAACATGAAATAAAACGCATATGTCTTAGTAGTATTTTTGTATGACTGAAATGACTAAAAGTGCAATTGAACAGTGTTTATATTTGTAGTTAAATACCACAGCTCAAGGCAAATGTTTGCACTCTTGGCAGGCAAAAACTTGTAGTGAAAATATTGGAAATGCATTATTGCAAAAATAAGTACTAAGTCAAGAATACCCTTCCTAACTCTACAAGAATGAATATCTTTAAAAGAACTGCATTTGTCCTTCATTTTTCACCTGTAATTTTCACCAATCCTACTCTAATTAAAACACCGTGGGTTGGATTTACCGCCATATTGAGGCCTCTCTGAAATGTCCCTTTCCTCGGTCATCCAAAAAAATAGTTTCACTGACAATGGCTAAAATATCTGCGTAAGACTTATCGCATTCCTGTTCTCTGGGTGTGTTTGCAGAGCAGCTATGATCAGAATGAGTAATGTAATTAACACAGGAAAAATGAAATATTGCCAGAGTGACATCCTCAGCACTGCAGTGACCCTATGTTTTACGTCTTTGTTATTAGCTCTCTGCAGTGCGTTTTCTAATCTTGTTAGTTTGTGTGCTCTGTGTTTTCTCAACTGATAACTACATCCACCCATCTAAATGTGGATGAACACGTGAAACATGACATTCTGCTCGGGTTTCTCCAAGTCTGTGTTTACTCTCAGTGTTCACTTCCAGGTGGAAAGCACCCAGTTCTCAAGCAGTGCTGACCAGCTTGGGTCACCAACAACCCGTAAGTACAGCCACTCCCAGGTGCCCTCCTTTTTTCAGATATTCAGGGCTCTAGTTCTCTGAAACCTTTGTGAAGGTACTTCTACAGGGCAAGCTACTGCAGCACACCATCACAGAATCATAGTATCATAGAATAGCTCAGGTTGGAAGGGACCTTGAAGACCATCAGGCTCCAACTCTCATGCGTGGGCAGGATGCTGGATCTTCACAGGAGAGGTGCTCCAGCCCTCCCACCCCCTGGACCTGCTCCAATGGCTCCACATCCATCTTGTTCTGAGTGCCCCAGGCCTGGAAGCAGGGGTCTCATGAGGGCAGCGTAAAGGGAGACAATCCCCTCCCCCTGTTGCCACCTCTCTTTTGATGCAGCCCAATGGTGGCCTTTTGTGCTGCATGCATACACTGTTGGTTCATGTCCAGCTTTTTGTCCGCCAGAACCCCCAAATTCTTCTCAGCGGATCTGCTCTCATGCTTTAGATGTTAAGGAACACTCATCCCAAGACAGAATCCTGGCAGACACCACTCATTGCTGGCCTCCACCTGGACACAGGGCCATTGACAACAACTCTCTGATTCCAACCATCCAACCAATTCTTTACCCACCTTTATCCAGCACTACCATGTTACTGAGTGTTTAGGTACATGCTGGACTCAAAATCACACCATTCTTTAAAGACTGTATGGCTTTTCCTTCTCTGTGAGGATCAGCACGTTTTCCTTTTTTTAGCATCTGTCTCTCTCCCTTGGCTATGACAAAACCTAACATACTTACTTTCATGAATGTCTCCCATCTCAGTTTTTGCTACTGAAAAGCCAGCCTAGCACAAACAGTGAAACTTGCTTCAGTAATTTCATTTTGAATCCCATGCTGTAGGCCTTTCACATTTTTTAGAAACTCTAAAGTTGCTAGATCTTACTTCAGTGTAACAGGAGATAAATGCAGGGAAATTTCAGATGAAATTAGTGAGCCCCTTTCAATAAGAGAGAGAGCAACAAAAAACTCCATTCATCTCTTGTCAGTGACCTCTTTCCGACCAACATGGACAAATCTGGTATGAGCATTTTTCTTTTTGAGGAGAAATGTCTTTAGTGATCAGCAGAAGCCATTTACATATGAATGTCACAGACAGGATCATGCTGGTATTACTGAATTTCCTTTCACACCTTCCTGAAGTTAAGATGGGCTGCGATATCGCGAAATGCACAGTTTAATAAATCAGAAAAAATATTTAAACTGACAACAAACAGTTCTTCCCCTGTACTGGGCAGGGAGTTATATCTGAATTCAAATTAGAACCAGTCATTGTAAGAACAATCCAAGTGAAATCCACAGTTGGTGGGGAAATTAAGATACTTTTTTAAGCCTCCTTCTGCCCAAACAGCTCCATGGAATTTGCCTTCAGGATTATAACCCAGATGAGGATGCTCTCAAAGCAAGCACATTATGGGGGATATTAAG